ACGTGGTAACTGGCGACGCTTGGGCGGCAAATGCAACTGTCTGGCGACGCTTGGGCGACAAATGCAACTGCCTCCCGACTGACTGTATCATAAGTCATGCCCTGCTGATTCTTCTTTTCGAAGAAGTGTCCCTGAATATTTTCAAGCAGGGCACGATAGAAGAGGTTAAGGAGCTGGGCATCGGTTACTCCATGCCCAGGGACCGCAATCAGTTCGTCCATGGTGGACTTGAGAGCGTGCACACTCTTCCAATGGCGAGTGTGTATCATTTGGAGTTTGTCGGAGGCTTTGAGGCCCTGCGTCACATCTGAGACCCCTGAGCGATTTCAGGAACTCAAAGAGGGGTGTAAGTCTCGAATATGTAACCATATCGTTCTCACAGTTCGCAGCGGGGGCTAGCGACATAGCAAAGCTAGTCGCCTCGTTTCTAAGGGCCTGGAAGGCCGCCAAAACGTGGTCCTTAGGCGTGACTCCCTGTAAGTACAGGTAGGAGTGCACGTAGGCCTCCCAGTTATCGAAATCCTCACCCTTCTTTCCACAAAAGGGTTCGGGAAAACGGACCTTGACCTTCTCACGACGTGGTGGGGCCGGCTCCTCTTCCGTAGGAAGCTAACTTGGCGCCTTCAATGGCACCAATGCAAAACTCTGGGGTCTTACTAATTGCATTATGAACTTCAACCAGTAAGTACTTCATCATGTCACTCGCAAGATCCTTGAACCCAACGCGCATTGCATCTATCTTTACTTCTAAGGTGTGGATGCACTGCCTTTGCTCGCGGTGCGCAATTAGTAACGACTCTACACTTTGGGTCAGGGTAGCGAGTTTGGTGGCTATCTCAGTTTCGGTCCCAATCTTCCCCATCCTGGCTTCCGCCGCTTTCAAGTCCTTATCTGCCCTTTCCGCCGCTTCCAATCGTCTTACCCTCTCTTGGGACAACCGATATCTCCATGGACAACCGATATCTCCATGCCATTTGTTGTTCTTCCTCCTTCGCCTTCCTCCTCACCGAGTCCCTTTCTGTCTCAATTTGTCTCATTGCTGCTTCTCTCTCTTCCTGGGGTATGGCCATCTCGGCCTCCCTGTCTTCCCCCAACTCCAAATGTGCGGCCCACTCCTGTGCAATCTTTGCAATCTCAATTTCTTTGCTTGTGCTGGTTTCTCCTCTCCTTCTCTCCTCTGCATCTTCTTCTTCTTCTTCTTCTTTCTGCACCTCCTCTTGTATAGCCCCCATCTTCTCCTCCTGCTCCTTCAGCTCCCCCTCTATCTGCTTCTTCTTTGCTTCTTGCTCCTCCAGCAGTGCCAGCATCAGTGCCAGCATCTTGGCCTGCTTGATTAACTCCCTCTTCTCCATTTTCTCCTTCCTTTCTCGCAGGGCGACAACTCTCTCCTCTTGTTCCTTACTGTAGGGGGTGGTACTAAACCCAGTCCTGGTGGTCACCATGGTGAAAGTCCACAATCAACAACGATTCCGCGCCTCAACACGTAGACCGAACAGGTTAACTTCTATCGAGGGGTCTTGACTCACTACTCGGGCTAGACTTCCGGTTTTATGACCACATACACAGAATCCTACCGACCTGGACAGAAGTGATAGGGAGATAGTACTGACTGACTTTGACAGCCCTAATGCCAGCAAGTACCAAGGTGAAGGTGCACATCCACGGGGTAAGGGGATAGGCCAGGGCTTGGAGGGATGGTACCAGTAATCTTCTCGCTCCAGCTGGGTCGACTCTCCGGTCAACTCGCCGGTCAACGCCCTGGTCAACTTCGGTCAACGCCTGGTCAACACCCTTGGTCAACTCTTGGTCAACACCCGGTCAACGTTGGTCAACTCCTGGTCAACGTTGGTCAACTCCCCCGGTCAACCTTCCAATCTTCCGGCTATGGTGGACCTTCTTCTTCTTCGTCAAAACCTTCGTCTTTTCCACCTTGGCTATGGCTGACTTTGTCTCCCTCTTCGTGACCTTCTTCTTCCTTCTCTCTGCGTCTCACTCTTTCTTCTTACTGATTGTCTTCTTTCCCGAGCTTGGCACTCTTTCTTCTTACTGATTGTCTTCTTTCCCGAGCTTGGCAGCTATGGCTGCCGCTCCCCCTTCTCTCTCTTTCTCTCTCTCTCTCTATTTCTCTCTCTGCCGATCTCTGGCTATGGCGGCTCCTTCCTTCTTCCAACTCGCTGCTGCAGCTCCGCCGGCGTGGACAACGGGTACCAGCTCCGATACCAATGCAATCAGACTCAACTCTGGACTTGCTCACAACATGCACACTTGAGAACTGATGGCAAACTAAACTCTTCCAACTCAGAAACAACAATGAACTTGCTCTTAAACTCTGTTCCGAACAACTGTACAACTTGCGGCTATGGCCGCCGAACACTCTCTACCACCAGCCTTACTCTCCCTCACTCTCACATGCGTGCATGTACGAGAATCACCCTGAATGTCCACGCTGCACAGCCACTCACGCTCTGTACACTCTGTCTACACCAACAGCTGGGCGGCTATGGCCGCTGTCGCCTTCCTCCTTCTAGCTATGGCCGCCGGTGTCTCCCTCGCTGGTTCGCTATGGCCGCTGTCTTCTTCACAGCCCACTTCCTCTCCGGGCACCTGCAGACCTCCTCCATGCACAAGATACCAAGGCAGCTCTTCCGCATGGCTCACAGGCAAATGAAGGAATGGCTGGATGCTGCCTGTTTATTTATACTTCTTCAGGTGTGCCCGAGCCTGCCTCAAAACGTGCGGGCCTGGGCCAAAACGTGTGGCCCAGGGAAGCTTCCAGACGTTTGGCCTCCTGGGCCAAAACGTGTGGAACCCACCATGTGGTCCAGAACCTTCCCCACGTGCAGGCCCTACCCCTGGTACTTGCTGACTGGACTGGCCTACAAACACTCTATACCACCAGCCTTACTCTCCCTCACTCTCACATGCGTGCACGTACGAGAATCACCCTGAATGTCCACGCTGCACAGCCACTCACGCTCTGTACACTCTGTCTACACGAACAGCTGGGCGGCTATGGCCGCTGTCGTCTTCCTCCTTCTAGCTATGGCCGCCGGTGTTTCCCTCGCTGGTTCGCTATGGCCGCTGTCTTCTTCACAGCCCACTTCCTCTCCGGGCACCTGCAGACCTCCTCCACGCACAAGATACCAAGGCAGCTCTTCCGCATGGCTCACAGGCGAATGAAGGAATGGCTGGATGCTGCCTGTTTATTTATACTTCTTCAGGGGTGCCCGAGCCTGCCTCAAAACGTGTGGGCCCGGGCCAAAACGTGTGGCCCAGGGAAGCTTCCAGACGTTTGGCCTCCTGGGCCAAAACGTGTGGAACCCACCATGTGGTCCAGAACCTTCCCCACATGCAGGCCCTACCCCTGGTACTTGCTGACTGGACTGGCCTACAGGGACCTACGACCTTCTAGACTATACAGACCTACAGACAGATTCCAGTCCTCAACAGACTTCGTAGAGACTTCTAGAACAGACTTCCTGAGCCTATCGGCAACAGACCTAGCTGCTAATCTACAGACCTGGGGATCAAGTCCTACTGCCCAAACTACAGACTAATCTGGGATGTGGAACAGGTCTAGGGATCGAATCCTACGCAGTACACAGGGTCTATGTACAGGTATAGGGTAGGTCTAGGGATCGAATCTCACTCAGCACACAGGATCAATGTACAGGGTTGTGGCACAGGTCTAGGGATTGAATCTCTGTGACTGCAATGTCAGGTCAACTGGGTTAAGCCGTTTCATATGATTCAAAGAAGGAAGTATTTCTTTGCTAGTATCATGTGATCATTGCAATCAGAATCGACTCTGGACTTGCTCACAACATGCACACATGAGAACCGATGGCAAACCAAACTCGTGAACTCAGAATCAACAACGGACTTGCTTGGGACTTGCTTTTAAACTCTGTTCAGAACAACTGTACAACTGTACAACTTGCGGCTATGGCCGCCGAACACTGTCTCTACCACCAGCCTCACTCTTCCTCACCCTCACATGCACGCACGTACGAGGATCACCCTGAATGTCCACACTGCACAGCCACTCACACTCTGTACACTGTCTACACCAACAGCTGGGCGGCTATGCCCGCCGTCGTCTTCCTCCTCCAAGCTATTGCCGCCGGTGTCTCCCTCGCTGGTTCGCTATGGCCGCTGTCTTCTTCACAGCCTACTTCCTCTCCGGGCACCTGCAGACCTCCACGCACAAGATACCAAGGCAGCTCTTCCGCATGGCTCAACAGGCAAATGAATGAATGGCTGGACGCTGCCTCTTTATTTATACTTCTTTGGAGGTACCCGGGCCTGGGCCAAAATGTGTGGCCCAGGGAAGTTTCCAGACGTTTGGCCTTCTGGACCAAAACGTGTGAAACGCACTGTGTGCTCCAGAACCTTCCCCACGTGCAGCCCCTACCCTTGGTACTTGCTGGCTGGACTGTCCTACAACCTTCTAGACTATACAGACCTACAGACAGATTCCAGTCCTCAACAGACTCCGTAGAGACTTCTAGAACAAACTTCCTAAGCCTATCGCTAACAGACCTAGCTGCTAATCTACAGACCTAGGGATGAAGTCCTACTGCCCAAACTACAAACTAATCTGGGATGTGGAACAGGTCTAGGGGTCAACTCCTACTCAGCACACAGGGTCTATGTACCAGGTTTAGGGTAGGTCTAGGGATCGAATCTCACTCAGCACACGGGATCAATGTATAGGGTTGTGGCACAGGTCTAGGGATCGAATCTCTGTGACTGCACAGGTCTAGGGATCGAATCTCTGTGACTGCACAGGTCTAGGGATCGAATCTCTGTGACTGCAATGTCAGGTCAGCTGGGTGAAAACCGTTTCATAATAGCTCTGACGGCCTGCTCTTAATTTGGACAAACTCTGTGCCTATATCTTCTTTGCTTGTTTGATTTCTTCTCATCTGTGTGTGTGTGTGTGTGTGTGTGTGTGTGTGTGTGTGTGTGTGTGTGTGTTCTCTTGTATTTCATTTCAGGCGCCGGGATATTTTGGTGCTCTCTCTTCGAGAATTCATCAAGAAAGCATTGTTTGTAAGTCTCTTCCCCACCCATCCTCTTTGTGAACTTACAAGAATTCATCAAGAAAGCATTGTTTGTAAGCCTCTTCCCCACCCATCCACTTACAATTATATCCATAGATCTTACCATGGAATGCCCACAAGTGTGTTGATGCCATCCTCCTTTGGGTGGCACCATGCCCGACAGTTATACACCAAGAAGAGGGTGCACCCACTAAGCTGGCATGTAGTAATTGTTGGTTCTGCCTGTAGTAATTGTGAAACGCACGAGTGTCACGCATCGTACGAAACGTCCATCTTATGAAGTTACTAAGATTCGTACGATGCTTGGCACTCGTGCGTTTCACATGGACGTTTCGTACTATGGACGTTTTGTACGATCCTTGGCACTCGTACGTTTCACAATTACTACAGGCAGAAGCAACAAGAGGGTATGTTCTTGGTGTTTGTGTCTCAAAAAGGACAGGCTGTAGAGACCCTTTTAGAATAGCAAGAGTTGGCTAAGCATCTAGACCTGTAGGAGTAACCAATCCCAGGGCGTAATACCCCCGAAGGTGGGATTTGTAGGGTATTTCTAATGGAGTTACATGAGCTTCGCCACCAACTAAAGGAACTGGCTGACTAAGGACGGATTAGGACAAGCACTTCACCTTACGGGTCTCCTGTTCAATTCGTACCCAAGAAGAAGGTACCTTCAGGATGTGTGTTGACTATAGGGGCCGTAATGCCATCACTGCGTAATGCAGAGACCCAACCCCCCATTAATGTCCTCTTGAATAGGGTGCAGGGATGTAAGTACTTCATCAAGATAGATCGAAAGTCTAGGTACCACATGAGGATCAACAAAAACTGGATTTACCAGATGTGGGTTGTATGTGGGTTGTATGTGGGTTGTATGTGGGTTGTATGAGTCTGTCGTGGTACAATTTGGGCTCTATAATGCGCCTACATGAGGATCAACAAAAACTGGATTTACCAGATGTGGGTTGTATGTGGGTTGTATGAGTGTCGTGGTACCACATGAGGATCAACAAAAACTGGATTTACCAGATGTGGGTTGTATGTGGGTTGTATGTGGGTTGTATGAGTCTGTCGTGGTACAATTTGGGCTCTATAATGCGCCTACATGAGGATCAACAAAAACTGGATTTACCAGATGTGGGTTGTATGTGGGTTGTATGAGTCTGTCGTGGTACAATTTGGGCTCTATAATGCGCCTGATATCTTGCAGAATGCCACGAACAGAGTTTTGATTCACTACTTAGACATTGTTGTCTATGTCGATGATATACTACTCTTTGTTAAGACTTTGCAGGATCATGTCAACCGTGTAGAGAGAGTTTTTTTATCTCCTCTGAAAGCACAAGTATAAGACTAATAAAGACAAGTTTTGGTCTGGACGTACCAGAGTCTTATTCTTGGCTTATGAAATCTCTGAGGAAGGTTTGAGGCTAGAAGAAACAAAAGTGGCAGCCTTTATTGACTGGTTGTGACCTCTGTCTGTGACTGAGGTAAGATCTTTGCTGGGGAAAGCTGGGTATTTTTAGATCGTTTGTAAAGACAAGTGGACCCGCTGCGGCTACGCCTGCACGACACGGCGCGGGCAGGCAGCCCAACAGAAGAGAACAATAGAGATGTGGCATGTGGATGTCTTTCGCTCTCTACCTCTCTCCCCTCTCATAATATGGAGTTACTCATCTGCTTCAATTGGTCAGAAAACAGTACGCACAGTACGGTATCACGGGTGTTTCAAGTCAGGAGTGTCCAAGATCATATTAATGTCTCTTTGTCTTTCTTGCTTTTTGTGTTTCTGGGTCTCTTTCTGTCAGTTTTTTCTCCCTCTATCAACTGGCCTTAACTGTTTCTGGATCTCTTTCTGTTTGTCGATCCCCGGGTTGAGTGCTCCCCCTCTGCCTTCTCAGTCCCGAGCGTTTCTGCGGTTTTCGAAGTCTCCCCCGACTCCCGAGGTATCCCCTTCCCTCTGACTCCCTGCGTCAACTTCCCGACGTTAACTCCCTTTCCTGACTGCATATGTTCACGTCTACCCCCTCCACCGAAAGGCCATAGCTTGCATCCCTCGGCAGAGCCGATGCTGAGGGGGACGGCGAGACATCCCTACGCCCTCTCCCTCTCAACCAATATCGCGGTCTCAACCCCCTTCCCCCCAGTGGGGAGCGCTCCCTTTCTCGCTTATAGGCGGATTGCTCCTGCAGGCTCGGCTCTGGGTAGTGACCACCTCTCTTCCCCGTTGACCCGGTCTCTGTTGACAAAAAAGTCGGGGCGGGGAAGCACTCTGCCGACGACGAGCTTTTGGGGGGACCAGCAATTACCATCTTCGTTCTGCACTTATATTCATTCTGCGTACCCTCTCTTATATCTCCCTCTGCCATTATGGGTATGTCATAAACCGGTCTACCCTGTACCTGGAGGGTTCTTGACTCAGCCGAGCTTCCCTGTCTTCTCTGCATACCTTCATCCCCACCTCCTTCTCTGTCCTCTCCCTTGCCTTTTGTACCTCCTGTTGCTCTTGCTGTTCCCTTCTCAACCCCATACCTATTTCCCCCATCCTTCGTTCCCCTTCTCCTTCCTCCTTCTCCTTCCTCTCCCTCATCTTTTCTTTCTCCCTTCTTTCCCTCCGTTCCCTTTTCCTGCTCCTGCCTTTGTCCCACCCTCCCCATCACACTTCCCCTTTGCACTTCGTCTTTCTCCTCGCTCTTCTCCCCCTTCGGGGTCTCTGCTTCACTCCTATCCTCCTGGTGATCCCGCCCTTGTACTTCTCCCGCCCCTCTTCTTTCCCTATCTCGGCCTTCTGCCTGTTTAAGCTACTCCACAGGTCCTCGGCCTTTTCCGTTCCTTGTTTTTTACACACTTCTTTGGCCCCTCCCCCTCCCTCTTCGTCTCCCTCCCCCTCCGTCCCTCCTCTCACATACTTCCCCTGCCTGCTGCTCTCCTGGTCCTGCTGCTCCTCTTTCAGACCCTGTTCCATCAAGCTTTTCTGCTGTGCCGACTCTTTCTCCCCCCTCCCTTCCGCCCCCTTCAGCCCTTCCTCCGCACCTTTACCCGTTTCGCTCCCACCCTTACTCGTCCCTTCCTGCTCTGTTCCTGTCGCCTTGACCTCTCTCCTCTCGCCCAGTGGTTGCTCCACCTTCCTTTTGTGGTCATCACCCTCCCCCTCCGTCCCTCCTCTCACATACTTCCCCTGCCTCCTGCTCTCCCGGTCCTGTTGCTCCTCTTTCAGACCCTGTTCCATCAAACTTTTCTGTTGTGCCGACTCTTTCTCCCCCCTCCCTTCTGCCCCCTTCAGCCCTTCAGCCCTTCCTCCGTACCTTTACCCGTTTCACTCCCACCCTTACTCGTCCCTTCCAGCTCTGTTCCTGTCACCTAGACCTCTCTCCTCTCCCCCAGTGGTTGCGCCACCTTCCTTTTGCGGTCATCAGCAAACAACCAATGCGGCTCATCCGTTTGCATGGGGTCATCCCCCCTTCCTTCCCACGTCACGTTCCGCCACAGTCCGCCTCCCCTTCGGGCCCCTCTCCTTCGTCTTGGCTTCGTTTCCCTTGCTCTTGCCGCTTCTCCTTGTTGCTGCACCTTGCCCTCATTTCCTCCAACACCGTCCCATCTATCTGTGATGCGAGCTCTCTCCATGCCATCCTTTCCACCTCAGGGTTGGACTGCAAAATGGGATCCATCGTACTCCTGACCTCCCGATTATGCAACTCCTGCAGCGTCTCGGCTTGCGTAAGACATCGGCCGTGTAAGCCAGCGTGCCCATGTGTATAGCAAGCCTCACAGAATGCAGTCTCGCTGGTTATTACTCTTACTTCCTCAAAACTGTATCGGCCTGTGGCCACCACCACGCTATTCTTCAACGGGTTTTTGAGAGGGCCGTTGATGGCATACCTCGCATATACCTGCTCATCTTCCTCTATGAAGTATTCCACCGCTCCTCTCATCCACTTGGTCGCCAGGGGGGATGGCCTACACACCTTTACCCAAGGCCAGCGTCTACACTCCGTTAGCCTTGCTGCATGCACCTCCACCAGCGACTTCCACGGTGCAGGCTCACTTCTCCTTGCACGTCCGTCGCCTGCAAGTGCTCCACTCACCATTTGTTTATTAACCAGTATCTTAGCTCCACTGTCGGTGCCAAGTCTGTCACAGTCGTCTCTCCTTCCAGGTCAACATCCCCTCTCCATGGCCCCCTGCCCATCGTCCACAGCTCCTCCACATGTCGGCCCCATTCCCGCTTCGTTTTCCGGGACCACTTACTCGCTTCCTTTGGCAGTTTCTGTAGATACATAACCTCGTTAGTAGGCCTTGTCATGCAGGCCCCATTTAAAATCGCATGTTCAACCAGGTCCGCTCCTTCAATAGGCTGGTGTAACAGATCCGCCTTACGCAAGATCTGCATAAGGCTCCACCACTCATGTTGGACTTCCTCCATCTCGTCCGCCTACCTCCTCCCTCCGCCTTACGCAAGATCTTCTAGCTTTAA